CTAGACAAACGTAATTTTAAGACACACAGACCCTAGGAAATCTTTTGCTGTACTGCAAGGTGTGCTGTAGCAGCCAGCTAGGACACCTACCTCTACAAACAAATTCTGTGTGAACGTCCAAAGTCCATAATCTTGGACAGTCGGTCACTGCTCTGGATTTTGTAGACTTCCTCTTTTATCCTCCAAACTGCGTGAGCAAATCTTTCCAACATCGTTAAGGCACCAACATGGCAAATGCTGAGAGCCAGTGCAGATGTTTATGTTTGCTGATCTAGTCTTCAAGGCTGCTGGAGTCAAAAATGTAAAACCCCTTTAGCAGTGGGACTGCCTCTTCTGCAGCACGTAGCATTATTTATTCTGTGATTTATGTCTGCTTGAAAATAATCTTGCCATGGGCCTCCCCAGCCGGTGCCTATTAGCCCCCTCTGGCGGACAACCCAGACAAGAATTAAAAGGGAAAAAAAAAAAACCAAACCCCAAACACTGAAAATTGCCCCTGAAAACAGATTTCCTACTTGTTGAACACCACAAGAAAACCACTGAGAGATTTTAGAAAACAATGATGCTGTTCCAACTCTTGCCATTGGTATTCTGTACAGGACCATTCACCCGCTGTCTAGAGGTGTCACTTTAATGGGTTTTGTCAGTACTGGAAAAACTGAATTTCACACGGGGCTCTGTTTCCTGTGATGCTCATTATCAGATCAGCTGCAGGGACAGTGCTCCATTTTCTGGATTTTTCATGTCTAGTTTCTACCGTTGCCTCTTGGCAACTCAGGGCCACCTACCTAAAGTGCCAGCATCTGCCTCCCCCCTCAGCCAGAGATGCTTTGAGGCTGAGCAGAAACACAGAAGAGCCCTGAGGTTTGGTTTTTTGGGCTTTTTTGGGTTCTTTTCCAAATTGCAAAACTTCCTTTGAGGACAGCAGTCCCAAGAGCTCATCCTCACACAGCTGCTGTGTGGACGCCCTTTTGGAAGAGCCGTGGACCTAATTAAGCTGACCCCAGGCCAGTTTGTGGTGTACTGTGGTTTGGAGGTGTCTGTTCTTGGACTTTCTAGAGACAGATACACACTTCAGAGACCTCTGGTTGAATGAATATTCACAGTTCTGACACAGGACATTAGAATGACCCTCTAGCAGCAGCAGTCTGTCTGAGCTTGGGAAAATTTCTTGTAAAATGATTAAGGAAAAGAAGAAAGAAATTGCTTTCACTGGCACCGTGGTTATAATTTTCTCTAATAAAGCAAACTTGAGTTATTCTCCTTGCTGAGTAAAGACTGAAATCCTTCAGCAGCAGCACCCAGATCACTCCAGATAGTCTGAAATGGGTTGTCATGAATTCTTCCTGAGCTGGCACTGTAGAATTTAATTCTTTGGGCTCCTACTGTGTGTCTCTTTGCATTCAAAATTACAGTATTACATGCAATATTTTTGCTGTTAGAAAAGAAAGAAATAATGCCAGTAATATTTCAAAGCCAGCTCTAAAGATTTATTTGAATATCTACTCAGTTTTCACTAAAATAAATTGCTTTGTATCTCCTGTTTTCACCCACTGGGAGACTTCCCAGGTGAGAACACAATATGTTAGTACATTTTAATTTTGTTTCTGTTGCCCTGACTACTAAGCAAGCTGTGAGCCATCAGCGTTGTCCTGCATGCCATCTCCAAGGGAGAGCTGCAAGGTGAACGCCTCACTGATGGTAATGCCTCAATCACCTTACCAAACACTTGTCTACAGGCAGTGGATCTGCTGCCTGATTTCATTCAGCATAATCTAGTTGGGGATAGAACATCACTGTTCTCTCACGCAAAAATTCCTTCAATTCGCTGCAGAGGGCAGAAATGCTCATACATTGCATTGAAAAATAATGCTTCCCTGTGCCCTGAGTGATGTGAATGGGACAGCCCAGTGCAAGGGGCCAGGGTGGGAGCTGAAAGTATCTGGCAGATGGTTCTTGGGAGTGTTTTCAGCTGAGGCTGCTCTCAGTCCCACGTTTGACCTTGCAGGTGCATAGGACCCATGAGAGTTTGGGAGGGAGGGTGTTATGTAGGGGACCAAAAGTCTTGGAAATGCCTTTTCAAACTACAGATCTAGATTCTCATTCAGCTCCTCACCCAACAGCCTTCCTGTACAGCTTAGGAAGACCACCTGGAGAAACACTTTGTCTCAACAGATAACTTCTTCCGTCTTACATAGGTGTGGGGAGAGAAAACAAACCAATCAGATATTACAGATGCCCAAATCACAAAATACCTATGCCATCTCTGTCTGCAGGCCGCAGCATTTTTACATTAGACCAGAGGATAACATTGTTTTGCTGGGATCAGAGGCAGCTCTACACTTCAGCCATGGCCGAAAACATGGTCACATTAAGCCAAAGTCTAATTAAAAGTATTCTTAAACACTTAAAGCTAGAACGTTAAGTACCACAAACAGACACAACATGACTTCTCTCACTGTCCTACTTACCTTCTCCCCACACCACGCTATCCTATTTACAAACAGAAACAAAGTGTTTATGTTTTAAGACCGCTATGGATAAAGTTGTCTGCCACAACATGCGTGGTGTGCCTCATTTCTCCCAGGAGATATTAGATATTCTGCCAAAACTGACACCAGCTTCCCAACTTTCTTCTTCTTGGACATCCTGGTCAGTCACTGGAACAGGCTCCCCAGGAAGCTGGTCACAGCACCAAGCCTGTCGGAGTTCAAGGGGCATCTGGACAATGCTCTTAGTCATATGATTTAATTTTAGGTAGTCTTGTGAGGAGGAGCAGGGAGTTGGACTCGACGATCCTTATGGTCCCTTCCAACTCCAGATATTCCATGATTCTGTGCTAAATTAGGCCTGGCCTGGTTAGCCTGCACAATTAACCCAGGCAATTGGTATCCAGGTAAGAAGAGCTGGTTTAGGCTAGGCTGAGCAGAAACCACTCCCTGATACTGAAATCACAGCGGGACTCCCAGTGGGTGTGAGTGAAGGGACGTGACACAGGGTTTCAAGCACTGAGGCACTCTCAGTATCTTTCCTCAGCTGTTGGGAGAATTTCTTTGCTCCTCGAGGGCATTGCTGGACGTTTATGAGCTGTCAGTGACTTTACTTGTGTGGAAGTAATATGCAAGCAACCACAGGCTCCAGGGTGTATGTCTGGATGGCAGAGAGGTGTGAGAAAACAGAAGCAAGACCACAGACGAAGCCTGCCGTATATAACACTTGGAGCACATTTCCTGAGCAGTTTTCAGGCCGTGCTGATTGAGGACAATTTTCCGTGCCATTTTGACCCTTGGGTTTACATCCCAGCAAGAAGTAGGAGGAGAGGTGAAGCAGGACGACAGTGTCAGTCTCAGACCTGTGTTGGTGCTCAGCAGCTTTTATTTTCATCCAGCCACTGGCTTCACAGACATGGGCACTGACTCTCAAGGGGGTCCAATCCCACTCTGTCATACTCCCTCTAAACTTTGCAAGCCACAGAGTGAGGTTTTCATGCTTGTGCTTCCAAAAGAGCCCCAACAAAACCCACACACATTTTTATCATACTAAGAGAATTTCTGGCTGTGTCAGAAATGTAGATTTTCTATGTTAGAAAAAAAAAAGGCTGTGATGAGGAATGACTGAGGATGATATCTCGATGAGGGCAGAGAGCTTGCCAGAGCTGTTTGCTCCACAGCAACCCCTCACTGACCTGTGAGGAACAATACACTCTGTAGCACCTGGCACTGGCTCCCTGTGCATCGGGCTGTGTATTGCCTTCACGGCGTGCAGTGGAAACTTTTAAGATCCACTTTCAAAGCAGGGTTGTACTTGAACATGGGTATGTTCCCAGAATAACCATCATTTCTTTTGCTTCTCTTTCAGGCAGCTGATCCTGCCACAGAGGGCATTGCAAAACCTATCAGGACAGGTAAGGCACATAAACTGACTATAGCTGCCATTTGACTCATCTGTAGTGCAAACATCGCCCAGGATCACAAATAAGCCAACTCTGCACATCTTAACATTTCACATAAAGTCTCTTCTTGGTGAAAAGCCAAGGTAGTGGGGAAAAGGAAAAAAACAAATGAGAGAATGCAAAAAGCTTTCAAATTACTCGGTACTGCCGGAAACCAGCACATGGCTGAGGAAATAACAAGTATGTCTAAATCTGCCCTGAGGTGTCTCTGCAAGAGACCCTTTTTGCCAGAGGATGTGAACATCAGTCTGACTATCAGGTCTTATTTTAAGGGCTGGTGCTTGCACATGTGGGCGTAACGTCCATCTTCACAAGGCATGGGTGCAAATGTGTTGCCCCATATTTCAAAACAACTGAAACTCCTCCTGTACTCCTTTGCCTGGAGCAATCGTGTTTTCTGCTGGTTTGTGGGGAAAGGGAGGAGGGAAGGGGTAGGTCTGGAAGGGGTAGGTCTAGAATGGGCAAACAAAGAACAGCAGCAAGAGGCACAGAGCAAGGAATTAAGACAGACAAGAGTGTGAGCACAGGGAGCACAAAATAGAAAAAAACCCTGTCTAACTAGACTAGCAGAGACAGTCTACCAAAATTCTGCTTTTCCTTAGCATAAATCAAGAGGAGCACTATTTATTTCGTTGGCAGTGCCTCCCTGGTTACACAGCCCTAAGCACCAGGTATTCTGACTTCTTGCAAAAGTTCATACTCAGTCCGGAGGACAGGAGATACTATGGCCTCCCACTCTACAGATGGGAAAAATGAAGCAGATAAACGGTGTTCATCTAGAAGCGTTGGCAGAATGGGAAATTGAAGTTCAGGGTCCAGAGAGTCCTAAGCACGTAACTACCTTTTCTGCAGCTGCGTTTTTGCACGCAGGTGACATAATGCAGCATTTGGGCAATGTATACTCCATCTTGGATAACTTTTGTGTCTGGGAGTCTTCCATGTCAGGCTTCTTTCAGCCCACAGGTCTCAAAGTAGTGTCTGCCTGACATGCCGTCCATCCTGAGAACTTCCCATCTTGCCTAATCATCGTTTTTATCGGGTTTTATGTTTTATAATTCCTGGAGTGATTTTCTTTTCCCTTTAGGATGTCTCTAGGACGTCCTGAGCACATAGTGCTTTCTCTCTATCAACCTAAGTAGCTCCTCCAGTCTTTCCAAGTCCTTAAGTCTTCTAGTGCCTTATTTTGTACCTGAAGTTCCTGAGAGATAAAGCCGTGTCTGAACATACTAGGCAGATTTGGACAAGGGCATTTGGACAGTCACATCACAGCCCCACTCCGGTGCATTCCAAAAGGTGCCCGAAAAGGAGCTTTGCAAACCTAATGGGCTGCAAGGCACCAGCCTCGCTGTCCGTGGTCACCCATGATGATGGAGAGTCCCCGGCGTCTGTGAGGTGGTGCGGCCCCAGAGCAGAACCTCTGTTCTTGTAAATCAGTGTAACCTCAGGGAAGTCACCAGGACTGTGCTGGCTTTCATGGCTGGGTTCTACCACCAGTTAGGAAGAGGTCGTGAATGCTGTTGGTGTGGAGTCTAGTGACTGACAGAGGAGGAGCCGCAGAGACTATAGCTGTGGGTCAGTGCTTTTCAAAGCAAAGCATGAGTGATACTGGCATTCCCAGGGCGGGGAGCAGAGGTGTCACTAATCCAAAAGTGCATTTATAAATATATATATTTATTTCATATCAGGCAACCTGTGCCATTTGCTTTTTCTCCTCATCAATACCTGGCAGGCCCCAGGCAGGAGGAAGGCGCTCTCTCCAGGAACGTACAAGACGCCGTTTCATTAGCCAGAAACCTCGGTCTTTGGGTCAATATCAATTACAGGCACCCTCTTGCTCTGAATTCTGTTGCTAAATTTGAGGTGATGCCATTAGTGAAAGACAAAGGAGGGAATGACAGAGAAACCCCACAAAGCAGGAAGAGTTGCTGAAAGCTGTTTGCACTGGGCATAAGTGCTCTATCAGCCTACCCCTCGTTGCCTATCAGTCTCTCTTGTATGTCCCTGGTAGGGTAATAGAGCATTAAAGTGTAAGCACATTACAATGGCCCTTTATTTTTCTCTTAAAATGCATAAAGCAGGGCTAATTGATTAATATATCCCAGTGGGTATACTGAGGCCCCCTCGGCAGGGAGCTCTCTCATATGCTACCAGACTTCTAAGCAGGGAGTTGCGGTGACCACTGCAAGGTCCCATCCAGCAGCTGCAGAGCAGCAAGAAACAGAAGCATAAGAAACGTTGCAGGATAGGGGCTGTGGTGAGGCTGAAGTTGCTGTCTGCCTCTCAGGCAGCTCAGATGTTAGTGCAATTTGGATGTGTTTTGTGCCCACCTTGTTCAAACCAGGGCTTCGAAGCCCTGCATTGTGAAAACGGGCAAGCAAGCAAAAATTAGCATAGCCAAGTTGCCAGCTGGGTGCTCAGCCTTGCTCTAGCCCTGTGTCGGTACCGACGGGGAGGCTGAAGGTACCTGCTTGTGCAAAACGTCTCAGAGCTGCTGGTGTGGGATGCAGGACCGTGCTAGTGGGAACAGCTGGGGTTGGCTCAGGCAGAGGCAGCATTGTGATGCAAATGGACAGTGATCCAGACACGGCTACTTCTCTCCACTAATTTTGTAATATTACAGCAGGAAAAAACATGATGATTTAATTTAGATTTCCAATGAGATTATGTTCTATTATTAGCTAAACACCAGTGGGCACTAAAGCAGATTTATCGAAGGTTTATGTCCCTGACTCAGCTGTCAGTCCTCAATGGATGGGTTTGCACGAATCCACAAGCAGTAGCTGAGAGCGATGCAGTGTCAGCTAATTAAATGTTTGTGTGAAAAATGATACCAGTCTTCTCAAATCCTCTGTGCCATTGTCGGTGGAGAACCTGAGCAACAGGGGGAAAGAATGAAATTCATCATGAACTAAGTGTTCGTCAAATGTTCTTTCTGTGGAAATATTTCACTGTGGAAAATCATCCACATTTCATAAATATCAAATCATATATTAATATGGGCCAGAGAGGTATTATTGTTACATTCATTTTTTTAGAGGTAAAACTAAGTCACAGAGAAATTTATGATCTGCTGATGTCTGGAGGGGTTCAGCCCTCATCATCTCCTCGCTGTCCTCTCCGAGCCTTGTTTCCCCATAAAAGTTGTAAGCCTGGACTCATGGCTTTTCTTGTTATTTCGAACTGCAAAGTCATGATACTAAAATCTTTTCTCATTCCCAAAAGGAAAAACCTACAGATACATATGCACACATGCACTATTTATAGCTATTTTTGTCTGCAGTAAGATCCATTAGCAGCTGATGGACAGACCAGGAAAGGGAATTCAGCATCTCACTCACAGTTTCGATGGGAAATAGGCTCCCAAATAAAAATATGGCTCCCAGAAATTAATGTAGTACAGGTGACATTGACATCCTTGGCACCCTAGAATAAATCTGGCTGAAGCCAGCAAAACAAAGCATTTCCAGATTTGCAGCAACATCTCTGAGTGCAGTTTGGCCTTCTGCAACTAAATCTGGCCTCTTGCAGTCTGGAATTGTCCCAGTGCAACACTAAGAAATTGCTGGGTTGTTAGTCACAAATCCCATGACGGTGGGTTCTTCAGAAATGGATATTTCACATTTAGACCATATAGATTTTTGTCTTCTCAGCTTCAGTACATGTATGTGTTTGTGTGCATAGCTGTGAAACTCCGTAAGGTTCTCTCTGATCTTGGGAGGTCAGGGCAGATGAGCTGTGCTTCTCAGTTCAAAAAGTTTTGGTAAGTCTGGGCTTGCAAGTGCTAGAAAGAGTGCACAGGCATCCTCCTAGGCAAGCTTCCGGAGGAAACTGCAGCTAGACAGGTTCCAGTTAGTCATAATGGGGGCTTGTTACATATTCAATTAATAGTGAGATGATCGGAATTGCTACAAAATACTGAATGTTGGATCTTCCATCTCTCCAATACTTAAAATGCAAGTTATAGATTAATATAGAGATATATATGAATAGGTCATGAAATTAGGTGACTTATGCAGGCTAGAGACCTGAATAGTTTTGGCCTTAAACTCTACAAGTTTTGCGGTAGTCAGGTATGCAGTGATGCGATCGCAAGAGCTTCTTCCTAAATTTGGAGGAAAGAAAGGGATGGATACTTCTAAAGTTTACATTTTTGTAAATAGGTAAAACTGGCAGCTGAGTTCCATCCCCTTTCAATGCACAGGACCAGAGTGACAGTCCTTGGGCTCTCGAGGAACAAGGGCACTCAGTGCGTGTGTAACAGGCACAGCCACAAGCACAGCCCAGCTCTGCCACTGAGCCCAGGAGAGAACGTCACCCAGCTGGCACTTGTCACAGCATCGCTCGGCTGGGGCGGCCACCAGCGCCAGCTGGCAGCTGTTTGCAGGACACTTAACTGGAAGGAGAGAGTTAAAGATAACTACGGGGACTTCAGATCGTGGCTGCTCAGAAATAAAATTAGGCATGCTGACAGAGAGGTATGAGCTCACCCTGCCTAATTGTATAAGCACGTAAATCAGTGGTGGGTACGGAGGAACTGAGAGCTATTTATTGCCTGACCCTACTTCTTTCCTTTGTAAAATAAGTTTGAGTTTTTGACCTGCTCTTGTACCTGTCCACACTCAGCCTCCAGCTGGTTGTAATGCCACACACACTGCTGAGGAGCCTCACTGTAAGAGGTGACTGGTACTAGGACAAGCTTCAGAAACCCCGTTTGAGGGGCTTTCCATGTCTGGGTAGCAACGCTTTGCGCTCTGGCATGCCACTTTCAGCTCTTGGTTTCACCACCCTTTGTCCATTCTTGCCTTTTACCCATCTCAGAGGTGGGGAAACTGAGGCAGCCAGCAGTGAGGATTATTCCCCAGGCAGAGTCACATCTCCTTGGACCTGGCTGGCAGCAGCCAATATGTCCACGTGTCCTACAGTCCTTGGGTTCCTCCTGGCTGGACAGGATCCTCTGGCATTTTGATGAGACTTTCCATTTTCACCACAGGTGGAAATCACGGGAGTGTCAGCAAGGCTGCAGCTCCTCTGAGGCCCATTTCACAGTCCTGCTGTGCATCCCCTTTGGCTTGGTGGGGAAAAGCTGCATTAAGATCCTGGAAATAGTCTGGCCCTTTTCCTGAGGGCTGCACCCTCTGGATGCTCATCCTATGGTAAAAGGCATTAGGAAGACAAAAGTGAATTATCTCCTGAGAGCTTCTTTAGGGCAAAATAGCCTAAATGGCTTCCTACTAAGACTCCTTCCTTATCAGCAGGCTTCCTTAGAGCAGGCTGATTTACGGCATCCGTGCATCATAGCAGACAATGAAACCAGTGTGGTCTCCTTGGTACTTAGTCCCAAATGTGGCTTTGTTTTTCTTCCTTCTCACAGTATTTTTAAGCTCATATAATCCTATTGACTTCTGTGGGATTACTTCTAATTTTCACTGTTAATAGTGTAAAGCTAATTAGGTGATGTGATTGTATGTATCCATCGATCAGTCCTGAAACTAGTAATTTCAGTCTCTCCTGGCTTGCTAATAAAATAATTGAATTGAGAAATAAAACTAGAAAACAGTTATAAGCTGCCTCAGCAGAGCAAGAACCGGAAATGTCTCTATAAAACAGGTTTTTTTCCATAACTTGCCTTCTCAGAAACACATCTGATATCACCAAATAAATGGTCTAAACACACACACAAAACTTGCTGACATCAATATATTTAAGTACAGCTATGGGAATGCAAAGTGCAGCTAGATTAGGGAGGGGTAGATCTTGAGAGATGCCATGAATATCCTGAGACAGCTCGTGCCTGACGGGCTCCTGGCAGCACCAGGCTGTTTGTGTGCAGGCACTGCACTTTGCTTGCTTAGCAGATGTTGCAGGGCTGCAGCTTCCAAAGTCTTCTTGAGCAGCAGGGGATTTTCTGCTTTACAAGGTAAACCCCCTAAATGCCACTGACTTTCTGTAAAAATACTCTCCCTTCTTGCAGGACATTTGTAATGGGAGTGAGTTCAGGGTGCTGACTATGCATTACCAGAGACTGTTGCTACCACCGTAACAGCTTTAGTTTGAAACAAGGGCCAGAAGGTTTTCTCCTATCCTGTGCCGTATCTCCACATCTCCGTAGTGTCTGTGCACTCGCTAAAACACTATATTGACACAACTAACATCAGGAAAGTAGGCTTTGATTTTTCTTTGGCGATTTCCAGCGAGGCCAAGGGACTTTGATGCAGTACTTCCTCATTCTTGGAGCGCAGCAAGCACCTGCTCCCCTCAAAAGTGTTTCAGCTACTGAAATCAGAGAAAGATTGTGATTCTCCGGCACTGAATCCAAAGGGTGCAATGTTACAAATCACCAACCAGGGTGACTTGTGTGGGGGCCAGCTTCTACCTGATTTATCCCTCCTCCTGACCAAGTACCTCTTAGAGATCAGGCCATGCAGGTACTGCAAGGGTCTGGAGATCTGAATCTCTTTTCTGTACCTTTAGTTTCAGGAATCCTATGAAACTTAAGATCCTTGTCTCACTCTGCATTTAGTAGACTCCTCCTTGTTCATGTAAGGAACAAGAAATATGTCATTCGATGTCATGGAGTAGCATCAAGATTTAGCAGAACTTGGTATGTAATTAGCGAGTCCTTCAGAGACCCTTGCAGAGTGGGTGATTCGTATCAATTTTACAAACCAAGCCACAGGAAAATTTAGGTGATTTGTGTACCCTGGGATAGGGGAGCGTAATTTGGTAAAATTTACTGAAACTCCTTACTTTATGACTAGTATTCAGCTGTAGAATAAAACACAGGAAATTCCAAGTCTGCCATCTGAGCTCCTGTGTACATCCCTTCCTCAGCTGCAGCAGGGCCAGGAGATGTAAACGAGAGCCAATGCCATGAGAAATAACCATTCCCCTGTCTGGTTGCAGCCACGGAGATGGATATACGCTGCTTGCCGGGGTCTTGTCTGTGTATCCGCGTGCCTGTGGGCCGCACGGGGCAGTACAAGCTCTGCTCTATACAATCACAAAATAAAGGAGGAATAATCAGTGCCTTTCACTGAATGCCCAGTAAGGTGAGAGGAGGAAAAGCTTGCACAGAGCAGATGGGAAGGTGAAAGGTGGCTGGAAAGCAGGTGAAATACAAGGGGAAGCAATGGCATGTAGGGTTTGGGGTGCAGGAGCTGGGTACTGGGTGACACCAGGAGGCAGTGACGGAATGCCAGACATGGGATGCCCTCCCGGGATGCAGGGCCTGGGATGCCGAGCTAGGATCCCGGGCCTGGGACGCCCTCCCGGGATGCCGGGGGAGGGAGCCG